CCAGAAGAGGGACAGTGGTTTGGACATGTCCAGAAGAAGGACAGTGGTTTGGATATGTCCAGAAGAGGGACAGTGGTTTGGACATGTCCAGAAGAGGGACAGTGGTTTGGACATGTCCAGAAGAGGGACAGTGGTTTAGACATGTCCAGAAGAGGGACAGTGGTTTGGACATGTCCAGAAGAGGGAGAGTGGTTTGGACATGTCCAGAAGAGGGACAGTGGTTTAGACATGTCCAGAAGAGGGACAGTGGTTTGGACATGTCCAGAAGAAGGACAGTGGGTATATTGGTTGATGGATGTTAGAAATGCAGCTGCAGGAAAAAGACAAAAGAGGAGATACATGGATACAGTTAGAGAGGACATGTGTCATGGTCTCTGCCACCTGCAGCACTCTCGGCCATGTCCATTTCTCCTCTGCAGAGCAGAGATCATGACATGCTGTAGGAGGGAGCTTCTCCTACAGTGTGGGCTGCACACAGGTGCTAATTAATTTAAAATAATTTATCTTTGAAAAATCCATGCCGATCGTGCAGCTCATCCATCAATCAGCCAATTGTGTGTCATGTCCAATTCTATTTTGAAAAACTGCAATAGAGTGAGTCTGCAAAAAATGCACTTCAAAGTATATATGGATATATATATATATATATATATATATATATATATATATATACTATAATAAATTACTACTTACTACTTTTACTACTATTTCTACTTCGTGGTTCTTCCACTTATCGCTGGGGGGCTGAGAACAGAACCCCCCCCAATAAACGAGGGACTACTGTACAAGTACCTAGGTACAAATGCAGTACTAGTACTGAGGGTTACTCTGACTTTGAGTATTTAAGTATTGATGAATTACATGGTTCACTCATGTGACTGTGACACTGGTTGATCTCCACAGATCTCGGTCTTGGGCCGATGTTCTGATGGTGTGAACTCACCGTAAGTGGTGATGTGGAAGATGCAGCGCTCGATGGCTGCTGGGACAGACCCTTTCAGCTTTTCATGCTCATACTATTCATGTTCATACTTTTCATGCTCATATTTTTCATGTTCATACTTTTCATGCTCATATTTTTCATGTTCATACTTTTCATGCTCATACTTTTCATGTTCATACTTTTCATGTTCATACTTTTCATGTTCATACTTTTCATGTTCATACTTTTCATGTTCATACTTTTCATGTTCATACTTTTCATGTTCATTCTTTTCATGCTCATACTTTTCATGTTCATACTTTTCAT